GTGTTGCTACTATCTATGAGATTCAGTCCTCTGAATATTCTACAGTAGTGAAATAAGCTGAATTGATGCTTTCCTTTTCTTTTATTTTCCTTTTAGTTCATGTATTAATTATCTACGAAATACAGTTTCAGAGATTGAAACAACAACAAATAATGAAGCAAGGGCAAGGGCAAGGAGTAGTGGGTTCGGGCAAAGGTGGATTTGGGCAGTATATGGTGAACCAGAACCACCAGAAATTGGGTCAGAGCAGAGGCCAAAATGGAGTTGCTAGGCCTATGAATTCTTCAATTTCTGGTTGGCCCACTTTGCAACAGTCTCAGCAACAGCAGCCTGGCTCAGGGATGCACGCTGTTTTTCTAGGAAATCCTGGCCCCAAAAAGGAGCGTGCCGGGACTGGTGTTTTCTTGCCTAGAAATATTGGAACACAAACTGAAACTAAGAAGAAACCAGGTACAGTACTTTTTAAAAATAATTTTTTCCCTATTATGGTTTCATCAGTAGATAGATATTAACTAAATTATGTCATTGATTAGTGTGAAGTTGTTATGTGTATTGCTTTAATTTACTCTATGCAAGTGGGCATGGATTTGAAAAACGGGTACGTAATGACTTAATGTAGAAGATTTGATTTTAAATATTTCTTGATGGTCTCTTGGCACTGATAGTAGAAGCTGACCCTAATTTTGGACTGTTCTTTAGTGTCAGCTTCGTGTCATATGGATGATTTTCGACTGTGTTTCAATTTAGCTTTCTTTCAAAAAAAAAAAATAATACATTTTTATCGTCGAAAATAATTCAATTTTAAACTCTTCATTTTACATATTTTATCTTTAATGAGAAGTTTTTATAATTACACAAATATCATGACCCCACAAATCTTTTACTCCTTAAACTTTTAAGACCACAAATTTTAATATTTTTTTTTAAAATTTAAACCGGGAGTAAGTATGTGTTTAGGGTAGGTGTGAACATCAAAGACCTATTCAATTTGTACCAGCTATTCCATTTGACCATAAGTAGGTGAATCATTTTTCTCCATTTATTTACTGAAGTGTGACTTTGTGTGTTCAATTTGTTATGGTAAGCTGATGTGTCTGCAAAACTTTTTGTTGTTATCCATGCGGCCATGCACTTTTTTAATAGAAATCCGTTTTCTGAAATTAGCAGGAAACACGACAGTTTTACTACCAGACAGAGTGGTCCAGGCCCTGAACTTGAATTTGGAAGCTATGGACGCTCGGTCGAAGCCTCAGGTTCAACCCAGGTGTTATAATGGTGGAAACGGCTCAATTCCAGCTAGTGGTCCGAACTATCGGAATAATACACAGCAAAGAAATAACAATAGAACGGAAAATACTTACTCACAGCGAGCTACAATGCCACAAGAGCTACTTCTTCCACAGGACTGGACTTACTGACCATTATCAAAGAAAGATTTTACAGTGTGAAGTTTTACAAGCAGAGGAGATTTTGTTGTATTAGTTTTTGATGGTGGAGATTTGGGGAAGAATAGGGCAGATAGTTTAAGAAGAATACGATGATCATGAAAAGAATGTTTGGTTTAGATTTAGGGAATTATTACTAGTAATGAAAGAATAAAAGTTTTGTAGTTTGAAGTGATGAAAAGGAGAGAATGTTGGGTCATGTTTTGCTTGGAATTACAACCTTACTTTCTTCAATTTTATTGCCAAATGTTTTGCAGAAAAATGATATTTAAAACCCCTCTATAACCTTGTAAGGCAGGGGAATTGACCAATAATTATACCATTAATTATGTATTTGTCCCTGTACAGCCATCTATTGTCATTTGTTTTGTCATATTCCATTGTGTTTAGAGTCAAAAGTATGAAAGAGAGCTAACGTGCCTGAAGATCTTTGTTCACTTCACAGCAATAGCACATGCGACGCCACACTGGCACTTTGACCATAATGTTTGTCTGTGAAAAACTTCCTTTTTTGTTTTTGATGTTTGTTTGACCATTTTAGATGTTCCTAAAATATTACTCTACTATTTTACTGCACAACTAGTCATACTTGTGTGCAAGGGGGCTTAAAGTTCCTCCATCTTCAAATTTTCCTTTGCCCAATTGTTCAAGTGTACTTATTTGATAAAATAGTTCAAGTGTGCACTAGCTAGTTCGAACGCTTCAAGTGAAAGGCACGAGCCATCCACTTCTTACGGGCTCCACCAACCACGTTCCTTCTTTTCCTCCTATCATAAAGCACTTTGATCTCTAAGAGGATTAGATGAGCAAAGTGCCAGAATGATAAAATGACACATTCAAGATGCGATTGAAGTGTTCAAATGAAACAAAAGTGATAACTTTAAAGATGTCAATATATGAACTAGCAAATTGTGTATGGTTAAAGCATTTAATACTGAAGTGCATATAATCAATAGATTGTCATTTTCAAACCACGTGGTCTGTATATGTGGGGGCAAATTACTTGTATGAATTGTAGCTGACGGTCGTGGAATGGTTTGTATTGCTTAAAGGGAAAGAATTGTGTGGTTGTGGTGATGTAAATCGCCAAATACTGAAAGAAATCACGTTCATTTAATTTGTTTCTTATTTGGAAGTTGAGTTGTGGCCATTGACCAACACATAGTGGGCAAATTGACCATATATCACGAAATTTTTTGTGAACTATCTGAGATCTTTTATGCGTAATATTTCCACGGTGGTTTACTTAAATTTTAAAATTCAATTAAACCCAATTGTATCGATCCACTCCTTATGCTTTTATTAAAGAAATATACATTTTTAGCAGTTCTTAAAAATAATAACCCACAAAAATATATATGTTTTGTAGATATATATTATATACATATAATATACATATTTTATATAATTTTTGGCTAGTAAATACAATTAATTTCGACCAATTGGTCACTTTTTGTATTTTGCCCCTTTATTATTCAGAGGAAGGATGCTAACCATGGAATGAGAATGATAGTGCACCATTCTTATGATCCTCTACACACGATGTTATTTGATTCATCTTTAATTGACATCTCTTATTTTGCAAACCCTAGTTGTGTTCTAATTAGCATTCCTAAAAATAAATATTTATAATATAAGAAGAATTAACCCAAATAGCTGTCTACCCAACCACTTAAACTAAAAATAGTCGATGGAGGTATAATTGATGCATAATTTGTGTATTATATGTGTATAATTATGTATAATCAATGTATAAGTTATGTATATGGCTAGAAAAAGTAAACAGTAAATATGACTGGGGCATTTGCATCTATACCCAGTTTTTGGGTCACCTTTTAACTTATACCCGCTTTTGCAAAAACAACTGCAAGCGTACCCATTTTTCGCATAACTTCTACATACGGGACTGAAGTAGCAAAAATTTATGTCTGAAGTTTGAACTTCAGAATATTTTGCCTGAAGTGTAGCAAAACTTTAGATATTTTTGCCTGAAGTTTGGCCTGACTTGCAAAGGCAATCACGCAAACTTCAGTTCATAGTGCAATGGTAAACTTCAGTTCAATAAAACTATAGCATGTTTTGGCTGAAGTTTTTATTTTGTAATTGCTGAACTTTTTATTTTGTAATTGCTGAACTTCAGCATTACAGGAGCTGAAGTTTTTATCTTGTAATTGCTGAACTTCAGCATTCTAGGAGCTGAAGTTTGTTTTGTAATTGTTGAACTTCAGCATTCTAGGAGCTGAAATTTTTGTTTATATTTGCTGAACTTCAGCATTCTTAGAGTTGAAGTTTTAAACAACAATAAATTTAATAGATCATGATTAGCAACGATTGATACTGTTCATTTCAAAGATTAAAGAATGAAAAATATTTTCGACATGAAAACAAGTTACTACAGATAAATTAGAACCAAAAACCAATGTGCCTGTAAAGCTAAAATATCTAAGAGGTTAAATTATTGTGAATAAGATCAAACTGAACATAATGGGACAAGCAGATATATATGAACCATCAGGCTAGAACGCATAACAATATCTCAAGTTTCAGTATTCAGAAAACAAAGGAGGAGGAGAAAGAGGCATGGAGTTGTTTAAAAAGTGGGTACAAGTTAAAAAAATTTTAAAAAGTGGGTATAGGTTAAATGAGGGCGACCAAATAGGGCGCCCCGTGCAATTTTTGCGAGTGCAGTGGCGAAGCCATGTTTATCGAACGAGTTCTTCGTCGAAAAATAATAATGTGTTTATATAAGTAAAAATCTTTTATCACCCGTACAAGTGATATTTACGTAAAATTTTAATGCGGCGCACATTTTTGCGCCACCCATTTAATTTGTACTCACTTTTAAATTTTTTTTAAGTGATACCCAATTTTTGAATAACTTCAGATACACATACTTTTCTCTTCTGTTTTACTATTTTACTCTTCTTCTTCTTTGTGCTTAGAGTTTCTTCTTCTTCTTAGTTATAAAATGTGTTTGTTAAGTTTGTTGTTATTTTGACAATTTGATGATTGAGCTTTGTTCTTTATGATATNTTCTTAGAGTTGAAGTTTTAAACAACAATAAATTTAATAGATCATGATTAGCAACGATTGATACTGTTCATTTCAAAGATTAAAGAATGAAAAATATTTTCGACATGAAAACAAGTTACTACAGATAAATTAGAACCAAAAACCAATGTGCATGTAAAGCTAAAATATCTAAGAGGTTAAATTATTGTGAATAAGATCAAACTGAACATAATGGGACAAGTATGTATATATATATATATATATATATATATATATATATCATCAGACTAGAACGCATAACAATATCTCAAGCTTCAACATTCAGAAAACGAAGGAGGAGAAAGAGACCTGAAGTTATTTAAAAATTGGATACAAATTAAAACTTTTAAAAAAAGTGAATATAGATTAAATGAGGGCGACAAATAGGACGCTCCGTGCAATTTTTTTACCAAATACAACACCTACTCGACGGGCCCACAGCCCAAAACAAGAATTATAAAAGGCCGAAACATCACACTGTCACATTATTTAGGGTTTTTAATTAAAGGACATACAAATTCACTACGCGACAGCGGCTTGAGTTTTTTGTTTATTTCTTCTTTTTGATTCGGTAAGATGAATCCACCAATAGTCCAGTAGTCTCTCATTGAATAGATGCAGTAGTACTTGAAGAACATAGATTTAATTGCACAAGTGCATATTTTTTGTATTATTGCACGATTTTATGGTTTGAGTGACGACTTTTGCTTGTGGATAATTTTTTAATCTTGCAAATACTTGTTTTTTCCTTTCAATTTTCGTTATCTAGTAGGCGAATTTTTCTGATTCATTAGATTTCGTGGTGGATGTTGTGCTTCTCTGTTTTAATGATTTATTTGTAAATGTTACAGCACTAAATCTGTAAATTGCATTTGTTTTAGTTTTTTCTTTCCATGTTTGCTCTTTTTCTTGAACTGTAGACACTGTTTCCCCTCAGAATTGATAAAGTTTGTCATGATAGATTTAAAAAGGGTATCGGATATTTACCTTTTTCTGGAAAAAGGATGCTCGTGAATTCTTTGATGAAATTAAAATCATACACTTAAATATATATTGGATAACTCAATATATATTAAGAATGTGTTTGACCAAAGAATAGACCGAGAAAACTTTTTTTCCGAAACTTTTACATATATATATGATAGGTTTTCTAACAGTTTGTATTACGTACTTTTTTGTTTCAGGCTATTGAGAAACTATTCTGCACAAAGATTTTCTTAAATATGGAGGTTAGTCTACTTTCCTCTTGGTATTTATTTTTTTGTTTAATATTTTATCATTCATGAGTATGGAATTTGAGGGATTATTCCCAACCGAATCTTCCCTTTGCTCTTATGTGTACTGGGCTTATTCTGCACAACCAAGTTATGCTAGACATTGTTTGCTTCGGGCTTGTACTTATGATATGCCTTGTTGCGCCCCATTTTTGCTAGGTTAAAAAAAAAGTGCAACATTTTAGTGGTTTCAGGGTTTTGTTATTAAATTAGAAGTTGTCACCTAACTATTTTTAAGGAGAGTTAGGCACCTACAATATTAACTGAAGTATTGCGAATATTTAATTCCATTAGTCTTAAGTTATCAGAAATACTAGGTAAGGATTCGATTTATTTTAAGAGAAAGATATAAGACAATCCTTAAAATCTGCATACAAAGTCCGTTTATTTTCCGAATTTAGGTTTATTAAGGACTTGTGAAGTATTCTAAGCATTTAATATTTTACAAGTGTGGCTAGGCCTAATGTTCAAGTAAATGGCACATAACAAGCAAAACACGTTAATTTATTACTAGTATTCAGAAAATCATCAAATGTTCAAGCAAGAGACAAACAATTGTTTGAACTTAAGCATAAATTATTATTAGAGGGACAAAATTGGGTGTCAACATTGATCTCTCTCATATCTTTTAACAGGCTCAGACTGCAGTCTTTTGTTCTAGTGATTTAGAAGCTCTTAGTACAAAGTTGAAACGATCAAAAGACTTCCTTAAACTGTATGCTGGAATTACAAAACTTGGAGACATTTCATCAATGTCAGAGCCCATAAGTATTCAGGCATTCAGCCATTTACTGACTCTCCTCACCCACCGATATCCAAAGGTACGACGAAGCAATAGATAAATCAATAATAACACGCCACAACGAACTGAACATGTTCACAACAATTGTTTCTAACTATTTTTGCAGATAAGAAAAGTCAGTGCTGAGCAAGTTTATATTGTGCTCTTACAAAATGACACTCTTGTGCCAAGAGACAAACTAGAAAAAGCACTAGAGATTATCTCTGAGACTTGCTGGGAAGGTGATGTTAAAGAAGCAAAAGGGAAGAGATTAGAGCTCTGTGCCATGTGCAACCTGGATGTTGATACATATCAAATGGTAAGATCAGGGGCGGAGCTAACGTGTAGGTTATGAATTCGGCATAACTTTGGTTCAAAATATGTATTTATTTTAAGAATTTGATTGAATATTGTATAAATTATTAATTTATATCTCAATAACTTAAAAGAAGTAGGAGATCGAACCAATAATTAAGCTTCAAATTTGGGTTTCACCTCTGGTTGGGACATCCTGCGAAATGGTTGGACAGGCACCCACCAGTGATGAAAAAGCATCAAACTCTTCACTTGTTTGATCAGTTGTGTTTTAGTGGGCGTTTGGACATAAGAATTGTAAAATTCCAAAATTGGTAAAAATGGTATTTAAAATTTAGAGTTGTATTTGGATATGAATATAATTTTGGGTTGTTTTTGAAGTTTTGTGAGTGATTTGAGTGAAAATCTTGAAAAACAGTTTTTTGGAGTTTTTCAAATTTTCGAAAATTTCCAAAATGCATATTCAAGTGAAAATTGAAAATAAATTTATGAACAAACGCTGATTTCGAAAGAAGTGAAATATTTTTGGAAAAAAGAAAAAATGTCTTATGTCCAAACGGGCTCTTAGTTTCCTCGCATTATTATTTTGGTAAATTTTGATCCTCTATTATTTGACCATATTGCCTAATGTTGATCCTTTATTATTTGAAAAAAAAAATTAGTTGATACACTACCTCCTTCTAATATTACAATACAGATAATCAGTAAGACTAGACTGAAGTTACAGAAAACATAATGCTTTTTGTTTAACACTAATTATTTTTATATCAATGAGACTTTAATTTGTGACGCACAGGTGGGAGTAACACAAAAAAGGTTTCGTATATATATGCTAAATCACTTTTCCCAAATATTAATCTTGTGATGTTTATTATTATATTATTGATTGATTTATTATTCTCAAGAGTAATATTGAGTACTTAAAATCCTTTTTTTGCCTTCAAAAGTTGCATTTTTACCCCTAATAATATAATAGTTGGTTTCAGTAACTCCAAAGTTATTGATAAAACGGTAGTTGCATCTCAAACTTTTGGTTAATTCCATAAATGGTAACTAAAAGTATATTCTTTTTGTACCAAAGTCACATAACTTATTGTTGCACATAAAAATTATACGACTCTTACCATTATAACCAAAACCAAATAACCAATAGGCCGATAACTTTATACTTTCGGCTAACTGAAACCTTTTCTTGGCTGAATATGGTTTGTACTGCTTAAAGTAGGGCCGGGCATATATCGGGTAAAATCGATAACCCGAACCGTTAATTATTTATTGGGTTATCGGTGTTGGGTTAACGGTTTAGAATTTTTTCACTATTGAGTTATCGGTTCGGGCCTCGGTTTGGCAATTCTGTTATTGGGTTAACCGATAACCCAATAAGGATTAACGAAATTACTACTTTACCCTTAAGTATATACATATGCATATATGCTAGGGCTTCATTCTTTCCTATTCTTTCTCAGCCTCAGCAACAAGAGTTCAGACTCTTCACTCTTCAATTGCTTCACAATTCACATTTCTCAGCCACATTCTTCAGCTTCATCTTCATTCTTCGTGTTAGTTTTTAGTTGCTTCATCTTTATTGTCTACATGGAACTTCATTGTCTAGGAAATCATAGAATCAGCTTTAAGAATAAAAAACTTCTGAGAATATTAATTGTAAAATCACAGAGAAAGTAGGTGTAGGATAAAATCAATATGTATTTTGTTCAGTTGCCTTATGTTTAGATTCTTTTAATTCGTTTTTTAAGATTTTGTCATGAAAATACAACCTTACTGGTAGTGCATTCACCGATCAAAAGAAATTACTCGTACTGCAGTGTGCAGTTAGTAGTAACGCATTTGATTAGTTACACTTGGTGCCCAACTTCTTGAGTAACTCTTAAGAACAATGACTTTTAAGTCAAATATGTGCATGTACCTTCAATTTGACAAATGATAAATACTTTGTATTGCTCATGATCAGGAGGTTTTGCTTGTGATTGCGTGATGACCCAAAATGTTATCTTTAAATTTAATAATTAATTATGTGATCTAAGTACTATTTATCATTACTCGACTTGCGTGTGCAGTCCGTAAAAATTTTTTGGAAAGTTTTCAGGTGAAAAATGAATTAAAATGTGAATTAGAGCTTTAAAACTCAACTGAGTTGACTTTGGTCAATATTTTAAGTAAACAGACTCGGATTAGTATTTTGATAGTTTTGGTAGGTCTGTATCGTAATTTGAAACTTAGGCGTATGCCCGGAATCAAATTCCGAGGTCCCTAGCCCAAGATATGGAATTTTGATGAAAAATTAAAAGTTTAAGTTCAAATAGTGACCGGATGTCAAATTATATGCAAACGACCCCGGAATAGAATTTTGATGATTCCAACAGCTCCGTATAGTGATTTTGGACTTAGGAGCATGATCGGAATTTTATTTGGAAGTTCGTAGTGGAATTAGGCTTGAAATGCCGAAAGTTGAATTTTTGGGAAGTTTGACCGAGGGGTTGACTTTTTGATATCGGAGTCGAAAGCCGATTCTGAAATTTTTATAGCTCAGTTATGTCATTTATGACTTGTGTGCAAAATTTGAAGTCATTCCGAATTGATTTGATGTGTTTCGACACAAGATATAGAATTTGAAAGTTCAAAGTTCATTGATTTTGATTTGAGGTGCGATTCGTCATTTTGATGTAGTTTGAAGCCTCGACTAAGTTCGTATGGTATTTTGGGACATGTTGGAATAATTGGTTAAGGTCCCGAGGGTCTCGGGTGGATTTCGGAAGGTAAACGGAATGAATTTCGGACAAAGAGTGCTAGAAATTTCTGTTGCAGAAATTTCGTGCGTGGAGTCAATTTTGGAAGCTTATATCTCGCAATTCATAGGGAATCGGAACATTTTTAAAATATAAAAGTTGTAGTCGTTTGATTATAGCTTCCATAAAGTTAAACCATTCATTATTTGGACATTTGTACAGAAAGTTATGATGGATTGAATGAATGCTGGTAGAGCTGTTTCGCCAGAAATTTCTGATGCGTGGAGCCGATTTTGAAAGCTTATATCTCACAATTCATAAGGAATCAGAACATTTTCAATACATGAAAGTTGTAGTCGTTGGATTATAGTTGCCAGAAAGTTAAACTATTTATCATTTGGACATTTGTACATAAAGTTATGATCAATTGAAGGAAGGCTAGTAGAGCAGTTTCTGGTGGACTTTTAGTGACGAAAAATAGACTTTTAGTGACGGAAAATGAACTTTTAGTGACGGATTGGCAGAAACTTAAGGACCAAAAATGTTCATTTCATTCATTTCATTTTGGATTTTTGGAGCACGATTCTTGGGCGATTTTTGTTGACTGTATCGAATTAATTATGACTAGATACGAGTCGATCGGAGTTGGAAAATCGAGGAAAAAGCATAATACTTGGTTAAATTGGAGCAAGTCGAGGTAAGTGACTTGTCTAACCTTGTGTGGGGGAAATTTTCCCTAGGATTGGTATTAATGTGATTATTAAAATATGTTGAAAGTCGTGTGCACGAGGTGACAGGTGTGTACACGGGCTAAATTGCGAAAGATTATATTTTCAAATTGTGTAGATCACTGTTGCGCATTTATTAAATTATTTTATCTTGTTATATTCTTCATCAT